CCTATCCCCCTGTGTGCCTTGCCTCCCACGACTCCACTATATAGATATATAGGAGTGGATTCAGTATGCCCACTATATAGATATATAGGAGTAGATTCTGTACGCCCACTAGCTTACCACTACAATAAATGTCAATGGTCGAGATTCTGGACCGATCTGATGGTCACGACCTCTTTTATTTTTTTTATAAATCTAAATCACTTGAAATTTTAGATGTATGTTTTTCTCATTAATGCGCACCTAATAAAAATATAAAAAAAATAATCCGTAAAAAAAAAATTGATCAAATACCCCCGAAACTTTACAGGGTTATTTTAGTCAATGTTTTTCATGTAAAATATTTGTTTTATATTTTTCGAAGATTCACATACTTTTTATGTATACAGGCTCCAAATTTTAGATCATTTCAATTTGTAGAAAAAAAATTAAAATTCAAACACTACCAGATATCCAGGATCGTCAGATCAGCCCAGATTCAATCTGGGCCGTTGGCGTTTACTGTAGCAGTACGTCATTGGGCTGATGACAGGATATTTTCTATATATATATATATATATATATAGTAAACCTTACAATAGCTCGGCCGTTATAATGAATAGTAATATAGCTGGAATCTCAACTATCAAATCTTCATCATGTGGTTCAAAATGCATATCACTATATAAATTTTAATATTTTTTTTAGAAATTAGATCATAATGAAATTTTAGACGTGTATCTTAAAAAAAAAAGGTAAACAATTAAAAAATATATAAAAAATATTTTTTAAAATATAAAATGATCAAAATACTCATGAAAAATAACAAGGGTAATTTGGTCATTTTAAATTATTAAAAATAATTTTTTTATATTTTATATGGTGCGCAATATTGTTAGGTATACACACCAAAAATTTCACCTTAATCAAATTTATAAAAATAAAATTAAAATTAAAATAGTGATATATATTTTGAACCACTCGATGATGATCTGGCGGGTGGGATTCTACCTATATTACTATTCGTTATAGCTGCACCAACTATTGCTAGCTTTTTTCATATATATATATATATATTTATATTAGTAATGATGGGACCTTCCCACACCCAAGTGAGTACGACCCCAAAGGATCATCATTAAATTTTGACACAGATCTCTAAAAAAGTTATCACATGGGTGTGGGACTTGGGTAAACTTTTATTATATTTATATTCGTAATGCACTTCTGTTCCAAAAGGCAAAATACTCTTAGAAAATAACTAATTTCTCATGTTTTGAGTCAATTATGGGTATTTTGATCAATTTCTTTCTTTGTATAACTCAAGTTTGTATCTTGGTACTCGACTCGGTAACGTACCGAGCATTGAACTAGGCTGAGTCCAAGTTGAATCCGCCAAGTTTGTAAATGTTGTTTCTGGCATGTGCAACTAACTAAGTGATGCAGAGAAAAAAAAAATATTAATTTTCTTATTATTAGTTTTTTTGAGTTTGTCTTTTAACTCAATAATAGGGTGCACAGGTATAATTAGGTGAGCATAAATTTTATCTCTCTACACTTTTCCTTTTTATCTTTTTTCGCTATTTTCTCTCTCTTCCTTTAACCTCATGTACCCTCCCTTTAACCTCATGTACCCTCCCTTTTTATCCAATGCCTAAAAACTATTTTTTTATTTAACCTTATCTTTTTACATACTTAAACTAGCTCTTCTAATTTAACCTTATCTGTTCATACTCTTAAACTAACCCAATCCAATTGATTAATATAAATTAGATAAATTCATGCCCACCTAATTATCCTTGCGCACCCTATTATTGAGTTAAAAGATAAACTCAAACAAAACTAATAATAATAAAATTAATAATTCATCACTAAGACAGCATAAAGCACATGATTGTGCATGATCCATACCAAGAGCCAACTAAGGCAAACTCAAATCCATGAGCGTGTATTACCAACAATGTCAATTGAAAGTTTGAAACCAAAGTATGAGAATTTTCTTGATGAAAAAGAGATCAACTATAGAATATGAGAGAGAGAGAGACCACTTCTAAAAGCCAATGATAAAACATTCATTTCTGGAAATCTATGAGCCAAATCATGCAAAAATTCATAGCCCATTAATATCTATACATACAAGTAGGGCCTGCACGATCATATCCATGGTTGGTCTCCCCTCTTTCTCCTCTCTAACACAGGATAGAGCTATTTTCACCACCTCCTCTACCTGCCTTGAGCTGAACCTGCCCTCCAATCTCATATCAACCACTGCCTCCACCCATTCCTCTCCCAACTCGATCTTCCTCTTGACAAACCTGATCAAATGCCAAAGCTCGACTTCTTCGCGGCCATCAACCACCTTGGGCCCTGATAATCTACGCCCTCTCACCATCTCTAACAAAACTACTCCATAGCTATAAACATCTGCTTTTGTTGTTATAGGAAGATTTAGAGTCCACTCCGGCGCCATATACCCTTTGGTTCCGCGGACTCCTGTAAAGTATGAAATAGACTTATTGTTTCTCCCTTCACCTCTTCGCTGAAGGAGCTTCGCCAGCCCAAAGTCAGTTATCTTGGGCTCGAAACATGCATCTAGTAGTATGTTTTCGGGTTTTACATCGCAATGTAAGACCCACTCTAGGCACTCATGATGCAAGTACGCTAGGCCCTTTGCTGTCCCTAGAGCAATCTCAAGCCTCTGGTTCCAGTCCAGAGTGGTTCCCTCCAAGAACAAGTGCTTGTCTAACGACCCATTTTCCAAGTACTCATAAACTAATAGCTTATGTGAACCCTCAACACAAAAGCCCCACATCCTCACAAAGTTTATGTGGTATATCATCCCGATTGTACTCACTTCTGCCCAAAATTCTTCCTCACCTTGCCTCACATCATGTAGCCTCTTCACCCCAACTACCCTACCATCACTCAAAACCCCCTTATAAACAGCACCAAAAGCCCCCTTTCCAAGCTCTTCTTTGAAGTTGCTTGTAGCCTGTTTAAGCTCTTTGTATGTGAACCTCCTGAATTGGCTTGATATACCCTTGTAGCCTTTTTCTATGGCTTCAGGCACACCATGTTTCCGATAAAGGAAGAACCACCCGACCGCTATGAATATGATCTCAATCCCACCAATTGCACTCACAAACCAATACAACATAAGAGTTGTACTCTTTATCTCCCCATAAACTCCGAGCCCCTCTGTGACTGCAGCTACACCAGTTGGGCATTTCAATTCAAGCTCTCTCAAACCTGTGCTCTGACTACCAATATGGTTTAAGGCTACATCTATGGCGACTTTTATATACATGCTTCCTGGAAAACTTGTAGATGTGTATCCATTAAAGAGAACACTCTTGAAGTAACACCCTCCATCCCCATTAATTCTATACATGAAACCTTGACAAGTACAATCATCTAAGCATCTGTTTCTACAGGCCTCAAAGGTTGTTTGCAAAGTATAGTTGATATCGTAGCCATAAAAATCAGTTTGAGGAAGCTCTATAAACCTGATTTTGAGAGGATCACAGGTTGTTTTGGACTTGGATATGCACCCTTTTGTCCAGTCCTTTGGGTCACTTGCTTCATAATATGGGGGGCATGCACATGTTGGCTGTGGTTTATAAGTACATATCCCATTTCTTCCACAAAGTCCATGAATTCTACATTGCTCTGCCATGGCTAACCATGTAATTGACCAAAGCCCTGTTGCTTCATTAAGGCTATAAAGCCTAAGGTTACCATCATAATCCATTGTTAATCTCCTTTTAAGCATTGAACCCCAATCAGAAGCATAGAATTCAAATCTATCACTAGAAACAAACCTCCCCAATTCATCATAGAAAGCATACCTAGAGCTATTATATGATGTTCTCTTATTAACCCATACAGTGTAATCTGGGTTTGGCCAGTATATGCTTGAAATTTCAGGACCATCATACATGATTCTAAGCACGTTGTCATTGTCGAAAAAGAAGCTGAAATAGCCAGGGGAATACATACCTTCTCCTCTACTTGAGATCAATCTCTTGCCTTTTGTGAATGGCTGGTTTGGGAGGAGAGTATCAGTCGGGAATTCAAAGCTTTCCCAGATGATTCGACCATTACAGTCTCTCAAAACCAGGTTTCCCGTGTCCAGGAGCTCTGCATAGCTTGTTGAGTTTGTGTTTGTGCTCCAAATAACTGCGTCATTTGCATCAATTAAGACCAAGTTTCCATCTTTCCATAAAGAGAGTCTCGAACGTCGGCCATTAACCGGGTGGTCTCTGCTAGCGATCCATGACACAGTTTTGTTTGCAGAGTTGGAGAACCAGATAGCGAAGGAATAGGCATTGAGGCCCACTTCATACAACCCGGCTGAGAAGGAGCCGTCAGGTGAAACAAGGATGTCAGAGTGCGACTCTACATGGAGAGATGATCCTCTGTTTAACCTCTCCATTTTTGCATTAGCTATTGAGATTGAGAGCAAGAGAGACATAAAAATGACAAGTAACAGAGAGTATTGGTTTCTCATTGTTGGTTTTGAAGGACTCCCAAAGATTCAAAATTTCGAACGCAGATGAAAATCACAAGAACTGTTTATAGAGAGTATAGTTTTCTCATAAGTGTGTTGTGCAGGAATTAGCAGAAATGAAATGATAGGGAGGATTGAGAAGAGAGAGAACAGGATTTTCATGAAAGATTTTTAAGGTTTGGGATGAGAGAGAATAGTGGGTTCTGCATAGAAAAAAAAGGGGATTGAAAGCCCATGAAAGTTCAAAACATGGGAAGACTTGTGAACAGAGAAGATGCACAGAATATATGGTCTTCTGTGTCTTACGTGGTCTTTGCTGATGTTTAAGAATAGATATACGGTCTTCTGTCACTTACCTGGTATTTGCTGATGTTTAATGCGTTGTGTTGGTAAACTTGGACATCTCATAGAACTGATGTAAAATTAATCATAACAGTTTATATCTGAGGTTGAAGTCGAAAAGGTTGCAGTCCATCTTGAGGAAACTTTCGTGACTTGTATTTGTACTCTTTTGTATTTATTTGTTTGTAGTTTTATGTTGGACATCTATCACTTAAACATTTATTTTTGAGATGGATTTTTTTGACCTAATTGTTAAGGGCATGTAATCTCTACTATGGAGATCATGAATATAAAAAAATAAAATAAATTTTTAAAAATAAAAATCATAGTTCTATTAAAAAAACATTAAGACAGTTAGTTTCAATTGTTTTTAGATGGACCACCTATTTGCATCCATCATTAAGATGGATGCTTTATACCTCGAAGACTATAAATATAGAAATGCGGTCCCCACCGCATGAAACAATTTTCCTTCTATGTTTGTCCAATAATACTCTCTTGGATGTATGTGAATTGGAGAACTGTGGGTCCCTCAAGAGTTGACCTTTTTTTTTTTTTGAAGTAGTTAAAATTTCAATTAAAAAGGTGGCCTCAAGATTTGACCTACTATTTCATGCAACTGACCAATACTAATGACATGGAATCTTTTATAAAAGAGCAAGGAAATGTGACAAATGAAGAAAAGTATGAAATTAGAAAAGTTTCATTTGTTACATTTCATATAAATTAATTAGGGCCACTAGTTTAAGTTGTTAGAGCCAAAAAAATATAGGAACTCGACAGAGACCGATTCCAATTATTTGAAGGACCCGGTTTCTATGAGGCCAAGCCCGTATTTGTAGAAATACAGGCCTTTTAATAAATCTATTTTTGAAATGAATTTTAAAACTTAATTTTTAAGGTCATGTAATCTCTAATATTGAGATCATGAATATGAAAAAATAAATAAATTGTAAAAACTAGAAATAATAATTCTAGTAAGAAAACATTTGGACCCTTAGTTTCCATTGTTTTTAGATGAAACACCGACTTGCATCCATCTTTAAGATGGATGCTTTACACTTTCTGGACTGCATGTGTAGAAATGCGGTCCAGCCCGTATGAAACAATTTTCCTTATCTGAATCTAACTTGGACGATTCTTGAATTTGCATGAATCTACATATTTATATCCAGTAGTGGGATTACGTGTGTAGCACGTACAAGTGTAATAAACGATCATGTAAATAATCATGTAAACACACCCGACCACTCCCAAAATATTCAAACATCAAACACACCCCAAATGTCTTCAACTCTCATGTTTACAAAATTATTATTTTTTGATAAATTCACACTGATAGCCCCCAAATA